GTAAAGTATACAACAAACGCTACGGGCGCAACGAACCTCACATCGCGACTGGGAGCTGGTCCGGTCTCTTTCAAATTCCTTCAAGAGGGAATGCGAAAACGTCTGCGTTACATATCTATTTGTCTCTCGATGCGCAGATACGGCATCACTTTGTAATATGTGTAATATTCAAATAACCATTTCGATTCTCTATTTCCGTGAATTGTTGCCGCTCCGGTAATCTGACTGCATCGAGCAAGAGTTCGTATCAGTTCGTATTATTGTATCGAGCTTATTTAATTATCGTATCGACGAACAACACAGACATGCGTATAAATTCTGTAGATGAATACCGAGAAACCATTAAAGAAGTACAACTCGTAGGGATATCTCTGAGAGAGAATCTTTCTTTGCCGACTTTGAAGCATGCGAAAAAGATTCGAGAAATAACGAGTTTTGAATCGCCCGCATCGCCGATAAGAGAATCTCGAGAAAAGAGCACGGATACTTCTTATATTTCACTTCAATAACTACGATGTGCTTTACTATAATATTGTATGATGTAATACGAGTTTTCTTCTTTTCATTATTAAATATAAAGGTAGAATTTTCCGCTTTCCCACAGTATGTCGATAACAAACTTTTTACCTCCTTTAATAATAATAAAGTATAATTATATATTTACTTATTCTAATTACAACAAATATTTGAATAATGTAAGATTCACAGATCACAAAAACAATGAGAACAAGAATTTAGAAGATATTTTACTCGAATAAATCGGAAATATGATGCTAAATCATGATATTCTCGAGAAATTATGCTTCAGTCTATTTAGTAATTTATTTCGAACCTTACAAATATATGTTGTTACGTCATTCAATATTACACCAGTAGAAGCCACGCTATTTAATGTGCATAGTCGAATTCTAACTCGGATACATCCTGCATGATCGCGTACTACACCATCGCAATCGCATATCTCCGACGCATCATCCTATTTCCGTACAATTACGAGTAACATTATCTATGGAAATTGCCACTTACTCGCGGATGATGTGCGCAAGGATTAAACTCGGCGTATTCAAACCTTAAATAGCGCACGATCGTTCTGGCAATGGCAGATTTCATCATTAATGCTAGAGAGGGGGAGGGGGTATAACGAAACCGCGGCTTAAGAAACTTTTTTAAATTAGAAGAGGAAGAGAAAAGTGAATGACACGGTATTGGTTAGACGGCAGGGGACAAGAGGGGATGAGAGAGGATTATGATACCGTAACACGAACAAGGGTGGAGAAGAGAGGGAGAAGGGACGAACCGCGCGGTGGCGCCCGAAACGAAGTCTCTTTAACGATGAAACCGATGAAAGCGGTCTCCTATTAGCATTCTGTATAATCTACTTGCGAGTGCATTCGGGCAAAACGACGTACGAAGCTTTGCAGTTCGGGAGTACTCGCAGCAGTCTTCGAACTGCGGCGAAGAGCCACTTTGTAAGTTGTACCCAGCCAAGGGGTTCCGCGGACTAACTCGCATCGGCCAGAAGTTCGCATTGGTTTGCTGGATTTGTGATTCTAGTGTGCTACCTTTTCAACAAACGCAAGCGTTATTCCCGCGTGTATTTCCGCATGTAATATCGCGTTGCGATTTCAACGCGGCGCGCCGCGTTTACTCCCTGATATTAGCTTCTTGTGACGCTAATTGAATATCTAGCGGTCGAGTACGAACGAGTACCACGATAACAACGGAGCGGCGGACGAAAATTGATATCGAGAGGAAATGGAGGCAACTTTATTTCAAGTACGTTATTCCAATAACGCCTATTCTAATTTCCGTTTATGCAATTAGACGGCGATATGAATAAATAAATGGGAATAAAATAAATGGTGGAGATGACCTTTGCGTAGTCCAATAAAATGGCTGTTGATATCTCTTAATTCTTCTTTACGAGACAAAAACGAGATAAAAATTATCAGAATAATTGAAGCTGTTCCGTTAATAGAGAAAGAAATGCAGTGTTACTCACCGACCACTTCGAGATAACCAATCTGGCTTTTCATGGGATCCGTGTTTATCTGACACATGTACCAGCCTCGATCGGATTCCCGCACTTCCCGTATGTGAAGGAACCACGTTCGATGATCACTGTGAGAAACTGCGATCCTGTGATTTTTTGTGATCACATGGCTCGCTATTGTCAAAATGGTTTGCGTGTCGACGCGCAACCATGCCACCTAAAAAACAAAACCAAAAATGTTCTTATTCTATATGCTACATGTTAATAACGAGATCAGATAATACAGATAAATCAATATTAAAACATGCATTAATATTCAACTTATTAATTAACAGTAAATTCGTAATCGGTAACCAATTATATGCGGCAATGTAGATTGAAATAATTATTATACGTCAATATACATTCATTAGACTAATATTAAACTATCTTATGTAATTGCTGCAAATAAATTCACTTTTGTGTTTTATTACTTATCTAATAAATCTATAAAACAGTGAATTTTAATTATTTTTAAACTATGTTTATTTTCTTATCTCTTCGAATTTTCAATATGTGGTCTAATTTAAATAAAATTATAAATAAATAAAATTGTCACATCGTTGTATAAACTTGCTGCAAAATGGTGACCTGCACTATTTTAAAACGATGTCTTAAAATTTGTACACAACGCGCGCGCGTGGGAATTAAATTAGAGCGCATATTTTATCACAATGAAGTACAGTTATTAATCGTTAACAATAAATATTCGAGATGTGCATCTCGTTAAGGAAAAGAAGAGCTGTCCCTTTTTTTCCGCAAAACGTTCCGCGGCACGGTCGAGACCGACATCCTTTAATTCATAAGTCTCCAGCCGACTTTTGTATTCCAGTTCAACGGACCGGCGATTCTTTTCCCGCCGTCTACCTTTCCACCAGCATTCGCCTTCGGATTATTCCCCCTCGGTTTCCGGTCCGTCCATATCAATTATAATTTTTCACGGCGCGGCCGTTCCGTCGGAGAAATAAAACGCCGCGGGATCATCCGGGCGGCTATTCCGTTATTATATTATTCCAACAGTTTAATGCTCTTTTATTCGCGAGTTATTCGCGCTGCGTCTCATATTTCCCAAGTTTCGCAGATAATTGCCCCTGGTTTGTTGCATACTGTTCGCGCCCGGGTAGTCGATCAAGTAATTTATAGTAATTTAGTGAGGCGGGCGTGCGTATCGAACCGCGGTATAAAATAAACCACGATGAATTATGGCGTTATGGAAATTACATATAAGTCACGAAGTTTCGGTAAATTACGGCGAGAGCAACCCAAGACTTCTGAAACGCACAAGTTCCTTCAGTAATGGGGATCTGTGTATGAATCAATGCGGATGATACATCACTGATAAAATGCTTCATTTGTTATTGTCACTTCGTGTAATATTCCGAGTATTATTGCCATCGTGTTCTGTACTGACAAACGGTAAATTAATTAAGAAAATTCTGTGCAACTTTGTTGCACATCGCTGCGCGACTTTTACATTACACCACCGATTATCCACGCGGAGAATCGAAATGGACGTTATTGACATTAAATAAATCGACGAAGCATTCTTAACATTCCTTCGCCACACCATCGTTTACGTCCGCGCTACACGCCGCTCCTGCCGAGCGTAACATTCGATTACGCGATCGGCGCGCTTTCTTTGTGAGGCTCGCGAACGAGGGAGAAGGAAGAAAAAAAGAAGAGAGAGAGAGAGAGGAGGGTTGCTTCCGGCGTTCCGGCTTTCTTCAAAGTAATCATCTCCCTCGACCGACAAAATGCGCGAGTCCGCCCCCGGGGCACCAAACGTCACGTGCATGTCATCCCAGAAATTATAACGTGAACGGTATCCTCGAGAATAAATGTTTGCGCACTGAAATAGCAATTCCATTAGCCCGCGCCTTTGAAGATAGGGAATGCAACGGGTGCTGCGGGCGCGCGAATATTACTAACATCATGAGAACGCGGCCGTCCGGCGTAACGCCGCGAACGTAACGCGCATAACATTCGCAAAAGGCGGACAAGAAAGTTACACACAAATGCGCGGACCGACAAAATGCAACCACTTCACTTGCCCCGTCGCGTGAATAGCTTTCATCTGGGCTTTTCGACCGTGGAATCAGATTTTTCTTAACGGTTCGATTTGCTGGACGCGCGTGATGAAATCCGGATGGCTGGCTGACTGGCTGGCTCGTATGCGGATCGCGGATTTGCTCATTGATGTGCTTACTCGTGCGATCGTAATTTTAATGATTTGCCCTTTCGCTGCTTCGAGACTGAATAAATATCGCATCGAAGATATTACGCGTTGCCAGCAGCGCTCAGATACCTTTTACAGGGCACTAGACTATGATATTTTATTTATCACTCCACGTGGCTGATACACGGCCGATGTTAGGATGTCATCTAAAAGGCAAGTGATACTTTATCACTCAAAAAGCATGAAAAGAAAGGAAAAGATGGCTTTTATCTGTGATAAAAAACTTATATATTCCATCAATATAAAAGTTGCAAGAAAATACTCGCGAGAGGAACTTTTTTTCTCAGTAAAATAAAATAAAAAAAAAGAAGAAAAAAATACATGCGTTGAAATTCTTATCGCAATTATCTGTGATAATTGTGTAATTACATTGTTATATTAGTGGTTAAATATTAAAATGCTATTAAGAAAAAGGGATTTAAAGATGGAGAATTTAAAAGGATTCCTCTGTTAAATCTTCATACGCTTTAATAATTAAATTCTATTTTTATCAAAATTTTTTCAAAAAATTATTCTTAATTCTCTCTTCTTTTGGAAAAAGATCAATGTTAAAATAATAATTCATTTATTTATAAAAACATACTGAAAGATGATAGAATAAGTTAACGATAAATACGTCGTATTAATCTGGAAGATCTCGAGAACGAAAGGATCACGGAGCTTCATTAACGAACCGTCTCTCAGCCGTCGACCTTTAATCCCACATTCGACGCGTCGATTACTCGGTTAATTATCTCAGATGACGTTGCTTCAAAGTCACTGGTGGGACGGAAAGTGCAGAGAGGGTGAGCGAGGGAGAAAGGGAGGGAGGAGATTCGAGAACACGTGCGTCTAGTACGGGCGACTCTCGGATGCAGATATCAAACCAGGCGCCTGTAAATCTGCCAGGGACCGGTGTGAAACGCTGGATGGTTGGATTAGGAGAGGAGGTAGAGGTCGAGGACTGGTCGACCACCTAGTCGGAAGCACCGCCATGAACTATTGCATTTGATATCCACACCGATGAATGGAAACGTTGAGCGCCCTGTCCAGCGTGGTGCCGCCATCTCTGACCACGATGAACGTGAATGCAGGTATAATGCCCCCGTCGTGCTTCCGCCGACTATGATAACCAAGTATTTACGGCCGCGACCATCGCGCGAGTTTCTGTAATTTACGGAGACTCCGAGAACCCGGCCCGCGTCGGCGACTATGTGTCACACTCCGCACCTTCCTCGCACGAGTATCACGAGGCTTTTCTGGGCGAAAGGCCGATAATAAAGCAATGGCAGGCGTCACAAAATTTTCGAACCTCTTATCGCGCGATTCTCTGAGAAATCTTTCAAGAGATTTAACAGTGATCTTGCAAGCTCGGTGCAATTTTCTTTTTCTTTTTTAGCAAACAATCCTTTATCTTTTAACTCTATAGAATACGTCGTTTATCACGTTTCTAATAATACCGCTAATAACATCAGTACGACTTCCAGTACAACCACGATCCTGGTAAAACCTAAAGGATCTAGATGTTCGTACACCGGCCGTATACACAGGTGCATCCGGCGTAACTTGTTTCGCGCGACGGCTCTCCCGACTTTCCCGACTGGTCCGCGACGTGCACCAGGAAACATTCGGCTCAATTTCTACTTCTCAATTTCCGGCTTCCTCCGAGTTGCTTCCTCTCCGCGGCCCATTCGCTCGCCGTTTCTCAAACGGTGGCATTCGAAGTTTTTGACAGGTCGGCTCGGACGGGAACGTAAGCAGAGATTTCAACAAACTTTTGCTCGCGTGAGCGTGGTCGTGATCTTACGGTCGTCCGCAATTGCCGGAGACCAGACTCGTCATGAGAGAGTCAAGATTAGACTAGACTCATAAGACTTAACTTTCAAGAAATATATATGTGACTGGCGAGTGCGTAGCAGCGACGACGACGGCGACAACAGTTCGAAAAGGCGCATATACGAGTTTTATGACTTTACACGAGAAGTCCATCTTGGATCGTATATTTTCTCACCTTCCTGAGACATTCAGGCCGCGTGGCAGAAAACCCTGTGGCGCGTGCACCTTAAATCAGTGCCAACCTTTGATTAGTTACGGTTGCACGATTTTATAAACCCTCGAACAGGACACAAATCGCGAGTGAATTTTTATTGCGTTTGCCCTTTGTTGCGTCCTTTCCATTTTTATTATGACTGGTAACTCTGAATATCGAAAAGCTGCATGCAAGAGAGAATCGGTAATCGATAGATATTACTCGTAAACATTACCACTTTGACTTCTCGCTGCTACCACAAAGTACAAACCTTTCTCGGTAAAAATTTTTTTTTTTAATTAATTCCTTTGCACCAGTAAGGATAAAGGCTTTAATAATTTTGGGCACTAACGCGCAATACCATATTTCGATGTAAAATAAGTTTCAAAAATTTTTCCATTTCGGCACGAGAAAAAGCAAGCTTAATGGAAATTTTCAAATCACACGTAAAGAACAAAGGGTTTTGAGCTAGATTTGAACCCTTGTAATCTCCTGGTAATAACCCGTCGTAAATTCGCGTCTTCATGCGAACGCAGCGAGATGTTGTGCATACACACGCGCGCAAATCCGTAATGCGAGTCAAACGAAATGAAGCCCAAGCAATTTCGAAATTCAGGCTTCTTGCTCTCTTGCGGAATATTAACTAAGCCCGCGTGCAAACAGGCACTGCGGCGATTTCGCAGCCCGATATAATTTCGAACGGAATTGAATTCCAATACGCCACTTTCCCATCCGCCGTTATGAGAACGACGATTTTTTTTTCTCTCTCGTTGGGTCTTACCGCGAGCGCGGATAATCGGCTCGAACGACGGAAATGCATTCTACGACGATGCACTTCGGGGGATCGGGATTTCATCACCGTTAGCAGACGTTCCGCCTCGTTCCCGGGGCCGCATTGAAATAAAGTTAGCGAAACGCTAACCACCGTCGGGCC